GCGCTTTGCTAACATGCTAACAGCTAAATGGACGATGAAGACTGCAGCAGGTTCGGTGCCAGTAGCTTGTCTGTGACTGCAGGAAGATTCGACGCTGCTGCAGACAACAGTGGCAGCTTTTTCACCAGCGCCTGTGTGTGTGTTTTAGGCAACGTGACAACACAATCTGCACATTCTGACATTACCATGTCAACGTTTAAACTAGATTTTCTTTGCTTTCCCACATGGCAAGCATTAAGTTTTATAGATATTTTGATGTGGTTTAGACAGTGTACTTGTCGGTCAGAAATGCAGATGTGGACATTTAGAATAACAGAACGAAGCTGTACAATTATTCATACCACATCGATATCAAACCCGCTTAAAACAGACATTGGAGAGTTTGACTTAACTCTGTTTGGTTTATCACCGTAGCATCCGGTTTGGATGTTGAGGCACCGGGATTCCTCTTTGAAATATCAGCATCATACACTTATGCTTTATATTTTCACACACGTACTGCGTTTTCTCCGCACGGCCACAAACTGGATTTTCGGCCACAGATTTGTGCAAAGACTGGTGTAGAGGTCCAGAACCACAACGCCACGTTGCCAGCTTTACACCTTTTTTCTGGCCTGACCTTGAGCCCGCATGGCTCAAGCCGAGCTCAGCGAGCGTCACCGCAGGATTCTTCAGTGTTTTCTCTCAGTGCCTGAGGTGAGAAGAAGTTCCAGTCGGGTCAAAACACAGACCGCCTGCGGCAGATGAAACGCCAGCAAACAGGCCGGCTGAGACCGAGCCTCCAGACCAGTTTTATGTTTGCAGCACTGGTGATGTTGTGATTCGGATCGGGGTCTCGGTAAGTGCTCAGAACAGAGGCCATCCTGTTCCACCAGCCAACAGAGGCCTGCGTTTATGTGAGCTGGGCAGCTCTCTCTCCTCCCTGTGACTAAAAATCACGCTCTCAGCTGGATGTCCCGAGAGAACCTGGATGCTCGGTCAACCTTCTCAATGCGAGACACAAGTGACATGTTTTTTTGTTTTTTTTTTCTTACAGATGCTTACTGAAAGGTTCCATTCATACAGATCCACAAGACATGCTTCCCGATGATTCACTCAGCCTTGCTTTTCTTTCAGCCAAGGCTTCTCTTTGTGTGTGTTCGACGGAGCTCTGTCCCTTCAAGCAATTCATGTAATAGTAACTTAGCAATAATTAAAAGGGAAGATTGAGAAGTGTCGTGCGCTCAGTAAGTTCTAATCAAATCCCCTTCAAGCGCAGAGTATGTTATCAACACCAGCCAGCAACTCTTCACAAGCACTGTGTTATTATTAGGATTATACTCTCGTGACATTGTCTTGCCTGAAGTCCGCGGTTTGTGTGCGCACATGGCCTTGTGCGGCATTGTGTTTGCATAGCCTGCGCACGCATGGCTGCGCGTGGGCGTCGCTGCCCGAGCGCTTGCGTGCTTTTTTTTTTCTTCTCACAAAAACAATGTCATTTGCCGCGAGGAGGATGGATTACCCCAGCCCGAGTTGAGCTTGACAATGACGCCCTCCCTAATGCTTGGGCTGAATGTTTGCTAATCGTGATGGAGCAGATTGCGCTGCGCTTTTAAAAAAATTATCATCTCATGTGGAATCAAATCAGTAAACACAGCCCGCATCAGCAATCCTGCCTCCTCAGCATTCTGACGGCCAAGGTAGCCCACAAATACCAGGCCCAACTCCGCCTGATTAAAAGCGTTCCCACACTATAACGCGCCCGTTCCCAACAGTGAGAAATTATTTCCAGACTGGCCAATGATGTGCATTCAGAGATGGAGAAGTAAATGTGACCCTAATCTGGAAACTCTGCAACTTTATGAGTAATCGTTACTTTGAAAGACTTGATTAATGAGAGCTATTATTGGCTCATTTATCAAAATCCATCCACACACTGTTAGTTTAGGAGAAAGTTCCTATTTATTTATAAAGCCACGTTGCTTAGGTTTGATTAATATTTTGCGCAATTCTCAGAATTATGGAGGAACACAAAAACTCCAGTCAGGGGCTGAAGCTATGAAGCACTTTGGTTGTTGCTTTTATGTAAATGTTAAGGCACTTGTTGGCCAATCCAAATGCCAAAGCAATTTAGTTTGGAAGGAAAGAGCGACTTTCTTTGTGACAAAACTCGTTGTTCCATATTTTGTTTTTTTTTAGCACTTTTCATCCTCCGGTGGCTACACCAAAAAGCTGGTGTGTCATCAAAACCAGAAAGTGGCAATATGACCGATACAATTACTAGTTTCTTCACATCTCATGAGTTCATCTTCTCCGGGGTCAGATTCCATTCAAACTGGGAGCTCACACACTGAGCTGCCCTGTGGGTGCCGTCGGCCACGTAGAAATGGTCTGTTTGGATTGCATGAGTGGTATGGATGAGTGCGTGAAAACGCCAAAGACATCAGGGTTTTTTTTATCTGCCGAGGCTCAAAGAACTTTGTCACGAGCTGATCATGATTAAAAGTAGAGTGTGTCAGCCGGAGTTGTCCCCCAGCTTAACTTGACTCGCTGTTCAAGGCGACTTCGCACGCTGGCTCCCCACACACTGCTGTCTAGAGCTGGGATGTCTGAGCAAAACAAAAGAGTGGGCGTGGACGTCAAGCGCATCAAGCGCCCCCCCTGTACTAAGAGTGGAATTAAAAGTCTCAGCAGATTTTCTTGTGCTTTCGGAACAAAAAAAGGCTGCCGTCAACTTAGCCTCTCTGGGAGGAATTGTTCAAGAAGCAAAAGAAGGGCGGGGGGTTGATTTAAGATGCTGCTGCTCTTTGCACAGGACACAGGTGGCCAGCAGGGCTTGTTAAAAGGGTTAATCCTGGAAAAAAACAAGTTTCCACTCACACAGCCCAATGTGAGTTTTATATTATCTTTGTTTTTTTGGGGGAGAGTTTGCCAGACATCATTAACAGAGCAGAAGGATCTTGTTTGGATGGGGTTCAATAGCAACTCACGTCCGGTGATACAGTGCACATGTTTACCCCCCTGAAAAAAAAACCAAGCCAAACATGCATTGGATGTGCATGTGATGGGATGTGTGAGGACGGACGTCGATGGAGCTGCACTGCTGACACTTTACTGGCTCAACGCACATGTATCCATTAAGATGCGATGTCCTCTTTGAGTTGTGGATATGTCAAAGTTGAGACTTTAAAAAGATTTATTTTTAACCATGCTTGAAATGTCCCAAAGTGCAAATGAGCTTTAAGGCTCAATTTGCTTCCTGCCAGTTATTTCCTATACTCTCTTATTAACAGTAACATATATTGTACATCCCGCAACCCCATTAAGGAATAAGCGGTAATGATAACGGATGGATGGATGGATATATTGTACACTGACTACAATATAAGCTACTGACTAAAATAACTGTCCCTGAACAGTAAAATCAGTTACTCCCTTGTATATGCAGACTTGAAAATGGCAAAAATAAAGAAAAAAAAAAAAAAGTAACTTTTTTTATTCAAACCTTTTCTTTAAATAGGACAATGGTGAAGGGTTTCACACTACCATGAGTCCATACTATGCTTTTTCTAACATGTGAAGGTAATTGAAAAAAAATGAAACCCTCTAATAGACAAACAGCTGTCGTCATTAGGATCGAGAATCCTATGATAACGCATCTGAATTAGAGGAGGAATGTATGTCTTTGACCAAGAAAAGGAAATATTAATGCGCATGCCAGAAACAAGTGCAGCAGTGTGCCTTCATGGGATTTCCATTTATCACAATCTGAAGAACCAGCAGGGGAAAATTTATGCTACGCCCTCTTGCAATAACAGAAAACGGCGCGTCCTCTTGGTATAAATTAAGTCCGTCCCGCGTTGGCTGCACGGGGGAAAATAGATGTGCGGGCCTTTGTCTTTTACTACCGTTGATCATTCTAAGGTTTTGCTGTCCAGTAGCTTTGATATTTATTAAACAAGCCATAATTCTCTGATTCTGCTTAATAGGCACGTTAACTAAGAACTGCAGGGGTTGCTTATCAGGCAGCCACTTGAAAACCCTCCACCCAGAAGAACGCTCCTCAGTCCTTTAGATTTGACGAGTCTTCACTCCCTGTGAACGGCCACTGCTCTGCTGTGGTTCATATTTTTTCCTGTCTGCCTTCACCTTATTTTATTCCTTTCCTCATATCGTTGTGAAGCTGCTTCATTTCCATGCTTTCAAACTTGGACCACACACTGCAGTGCCTGGAGGAAGGAAGGGCTCTTTCGGCCCTCTTGTTTGCTATCCACAGGAGTATCCTCTTGTTAAAACCTGACTGTGACCGCTTGTCATATATCCTACCCTCTACCTGCCTAATGAGGAAGCCACTGCACCAGCTGGGACCAGAGAATTTCTCGTCCCCTCAGTGCACACAAACATGAAGAACAAGAGCCGCTGCCTGCCTGACATCCTGTGGCACTTCAGCAGCAGCAGGCCAGCGGAGGCTCCCCGTCCCCCTTTTGTTTGGAACCTCCTTCTCCTTAGTCTGTACTTGTATTTGTTTCAACTTGGTTCTACTCGTAGCTGCTGTTTGTTGGTTGTTTGTTTGTGGATACGTTTGCGCTTTCCCCTTGAACGGGGGGGGGGGGGGGGGGGGGGGGTAACCACAGAGGCTTGAGTGTACAGCACTGGACAGAGAAACTGTGTTCTTTATGCTCCTCCAGGCTTTTTTTCTGGTCTATTGTGGAAGGAAACAAAGGACCAGGCGGCTTCTTTGAGGGGCACAAGTTCCTTTCCTCTGTGTCCCCATGGCTCAGTCCAGGCTGGTTGACAGCAGAGCCGAGGCTCCAGCAGAGCAGCTCAGAAGATTTAAGCTAGGGGGAAAAAAACTAAAGCAACCTCATCATGGGCTATTCTCCAAGGCTATATGGTACCACCACTCTCTGACTGACTGAAATCAGGACAGCTAGAGACTCAAGGGGTCTCGAGAATTTTCTGATGCCGCGCATGAGCTGTTTTGCTGGGAGTAGACTATTGAGACATCTTCAGAAATGAATATGGCGGTGATTGTTCGAGGTATGTGTTTGACTGTTTAGAGTAATTGCTCTCTGAAATAGACCCAGGCTAGATTGGGCTGTACATGAGATCTGATGGCTTTTATCCACGGGAAAGCGCAGTTTGTTCTGGCAGATGGTATCTCCACGAGTGGCCTGATAGTGTTGATGACATTTTGCACCTGTTAAAGCCTGACATTTAGCCACCAAAGCTTTTGAGGGATTTTTTTTTTTCAAGTGGAAATGGAGGAAATAATTTCTGATGAACCGCTCAGTTTGAGTACATATCACTTTCTTCCTCAAAATGGAAAAAAATTAAATGCATGACCTGGATTTTTATGGTATGAAAAATGACATCTGCTACTCTTTTGGTAACTGAACACTCAAATATCCATTTATTTTAAGAAATTATGATTTAATGGAATAATTTTAAATAAATACATTTTTTATTAGATTTTTTTTTATTGAAACATTTTTTCCAATTAAAAAAAGGCTTTTATTATTTATCTTTTTGCAGAAAAAATTTAATTGTAATTTTTGCTGGCAATTTCTTTGTATAGATTGCAGCTCTTGCTGAGATACATTTTCTATCTGTATTAAGGTGCGTATTTTAGCTTTGTTTGCGAAAAAAAAAAATCTGCATTCAGTGTTTTTTCAGTCAATTAACACTTTGAAGGATTTGAGCTTTACATTTCTGCTAGCTTTTTAAAAAAACATTTTTTAAAATTTATTTTATTTTATTTTCTATTTTAGTTTGCGGTTTAAAAATTCCAAATGAAATGTCCCCAAAATGTAAATGTTCTTTTTGAGTAGCAGATGAAAGATCTTTTGCTAAATTCAGAAAATGCAGGAGCTGTACAAGTGAACAGGGGGTCAGTTGAGAATATCATTCAAAATTTTAGTCCAAACACTTTCTTGAGGTCACAGCAGTCTTTGGGGCTTCACTGTGTGGGATCTGAGGTTTAGAATAGAGAGATCACATTATCCAGCTTGTGCTGATGTGGGATCTTCTGACCATCTCTCTGCCTGTAAATGCTCCTTGTGGATGGATTTAACATTTTGCTGTCAGAAACTGAGAAACCGTTGCAGGGCAGATGAGGTCTCGAGGCACGGGTTCATTCTAAATAATATCAGGAGATCTGATTGTTCCAGTTCATCTCTAAAGGCCTCTCACCGCTTCACGGTGAGAGTGGTGCCAACCTCAGCCATACGCGTCAGCCTCCAATTGCTATTCTTTTTCAGAAATGTGTTCTTCCCGATAGGAGGAAGGGTTTTCTCTTTGGAAGAGCCCCTAGATATATATTATGAAGAACTGGGCTTTTGGCCTCCTGTTATTTTTTTTTTCTCTCATTGAAACATATTTTTTCCAACATTTCTTTTACATCAAAGGCTTTTTCACAGTACAGGGTGTTTTTGATCGGACAATCCCAGGGTGCACCATTTCTGTGCCATTCTGTTTTTAGCACCTTTGAGGCAGAATTAACAAAAAAATCTTTTACGTTTTTAAATGAGCTGTTTAATTGAATTGACTTAAGGGCCCATGGTGCTTATCTCAGTGAATTTATCTGAGAACAAATGTGAGTTTAACATATTGGTTGACTACTTTAAGAAAAATGTTAGGGATGTAGAATAATTTTGATTATTTCAAATTAAAGTTAAATGCTAAAAACATTTTCTTCTTATAAAAACATATAAATAATAATTAGATTATCATGGAGGAATTTTCCATAAATTCCACCTTTATTAATTGTATGTGTATATATATGTATGTGTATGTATATATATATATATGGTTATTATTTATTTGAGTTGGTATTTCACTGATTTGGTTATCAAAATAACTTAAGCTTTAGTTGGCATGTTAGAAAATATTACTCTCAAGTTATACAATAGAAAACAAAAACAAATCTGAATTTGTTTTTGATAATAATTTTTGTCTCATAGAGATGCTTTCCTGAAAAAAATCTATATAATCTCTGAAGTGGAAAATGATGTACTGCAACCACAGAAAATGAAAAATAATTTCCAAGCTAAAGACAATAAATATGACAAAGTTGTAGATTGATTTATTGATCTGCTAGCATGGTTTGTTCCGAGTAAATACATTTGGGGCGCTGGTTGAAAACAGACGTTAAAAGTGTAGAAGAGCAGTTAAAGGTTAGAATGAACACATTATTACCAGTTAACGGAGAATCATCCAATTGGGATACAGATATGTGTTTCTGGGGCTGTCGAAAAATAGGATTTTAATTCTGCAATGTGGAAACACAAAATGGTGAAATAATTCATTCTCAAGAATCAATTCATTGCGTTGGTTAATTTGGATTTTTTTGTTCTTTTAAAAAAAAATTGTGAAGATTCAATTTTACGGAACTTTATATGATTTCTTCGTCACTTAAACTTTTTTTTTTTTTTTTTTTAAAAAAAAATTTTTTTGATTTTATTTTTTTAGATTTTTTTTTATTTTTTTGTTTTTTAAATTTTTTTTTTTTTTTTTTGTTAAATAAAGGTCCGTTTGATTCCAACTCCGTCACGTATTGTCAATTTCACGTATTCTAAGAATAATTATAAATACAAATATCACAAAAAAGTTAGAAATCCAGTAATAATTCTTAGGCTGTGTTTATTTGCTTTTACATCTGTATTTAAGAATTATTTAACATCTTGCAGCTCAAACGATTTACTAGGTGACCCCAAAATGGAGGGCCTCCTCATGTAAGATACACGGATAACCCTAAAATGGCTCCGACTTCAGCATCCAATGGCATGCTGAGTTGTCCTCTTACGGCAACCAACCAACAGCTGGCTGAGTGACTTGCAACACTGCATAATGGTGAAGACTCGGTGCATGCTGATAGGTTACTTGAAATCACGCCTGTGGGCCCAATTGGCCACAGTTCAGAGATATTTGACAGAAGAGTTACTAGGCTGAACGGCAGAGTTGGCACAGGGTCCCCCCCCCCCCCCATGTGGTGCATCAACCAATCATGAAGGGCCAGCTCAGGATAGTGTTGTCACTTTGTTGTTTAAGTTGTTTAAGGGCAGGAGGATATGCTGCAGCGTGGCGCCCGTACTCGCTTTCCATAAGAAACTCAAGACTTCTTCTGGAATTGAACATAATGCCCCCATGAGGATTCGAATCGCACCCCTGTTCCACCCATCTGGAATGACTCTGCCTTGTAGAGTTTAACAGTCCTGCCCCCACCCACTCGTTGGAGTATTGAGATGTTTGGGGTTCCAAAGCTGCCGTGGTTCCATCCAGCATGAATGCCCCTCTGCACCGATCCCCAGAATGAGGACGCCATGTGCAGTTTCACGCTCCCCGGTGGTGACGAGTTCTTCCAGGGCGATCCGCCTCCCCCCCCCCCAAGAGAGCAGAATTAGGTTATTTTCATCATGCATTCAGGTGTGCCTGCATGGCTCTGAGGGAGGCGGCCATTGTTTGCTGACAAGTGGAATTTCACCGTCTTGCCCCCCCCTCCCTCTCCACGCACTTGGGGTAAATGGACAGTGCGAGGTGTGGCTGATTGGAGATGAGAGCCATGGCGGCTGCTGGAAATTCACTAATCCAAGCTCCGGACCACTGTGCATTCACTATTCACCACTCCATGCCCACACAGTAATCAGATGGCGGGCCAGCTGACAGTGGCAAGTCCAGCCGTGGAGAGCGGAGGGAGAGAGATGGATGAAAGACCAGGCAGAGGCAGCCTTTGTGTGGCAAATGCTCCCGGCTCCTGAACCGGGCCGAGAGCGGCGGACAAACCGTCCAGAAACTGCATTTCTCATTATTACTTGCCCATTTCCTGTCGTATTCACTTTGTTTAAAAACCAGGTCTTTATTTTATTTTTTTTGGCCATTACTTTCTTGTAGTGATAACTCTGAAAGATGCGCTGCTCAGACAAAAGGCTTTTAGAGACGCACGCCTCTGAGTAGCACCTTATTTGTCATGTGTCTTTATACTGTATAATTTCAGCTGCCGAATTAATTCAGCGCCAGGCTCCCGGTGTCAGACAGGACAATAGAGGGAGCTAAATGATGTAGATATTCCAGCCAAATAGAAGGGCGAGTGTCATCCCAGGTTAATTAAATCCCAGCTCTGAGCCCGGCGCCACTGCAGCCCTCCGTCGGGACGGCGGCGTGAAAACTCCTTTATTTCTTGTGAGCAGTTGTTCAGATGGGCTTTCTGCATCTCGAGGCTAGACGGCAGCTCTTCATTCATGAACACCTCCTTCTTTTTTTACTGGCAAGTGACCCGCAGATGCAATTGTTCAGGTAGAATTGCCATGTTTAGGTTACACTTTTGAGGCTTATTTGCAGATGAGCCCCTGGAGACGAAAATCACTGTGTGCTGATTAAAGGAGAATTTTCCACCTTTGGTATCTAAATTCCCTCCATATTTCACTCTTTCGTCTCCCCCACAGTGTGGATTGTGTGCCTTTTTCACCGTGCCGGCTTTGCTTTGTGCAGAAATGTTTACCCTGCCTCACAGGCTGCAGTCTCTGCAACGCTCTCTTAATGTCTGGGCGAGTGTATGGAAGGTGTCTCCCTCTATAATCAGGATGTTCCACATTCTGGCGTGTCTGCAGTTGATTATTCGATTCCTTTAGTGCTCTCTTTTAGTGGCGCTCTCGATGGGAGATTAACAGAGCGTCAGCGTTGGATCTCCCTCCCCAAGCTGTAGAATAAGTTTCCAGTCTCCTGCTGATTTTCACTCTCAGCATCCCCTCATGGTGCCTCATTAAGATTCAGACAAACAAGCGCCTCCGACCCAGCAGTACAGTAAGGCCAGGCTTAACACGGTGCTACTACACACCCAAACACAATTCACTGTGTTTTGTAGCCCTTGGCTGCACATTGCTTCGGCTCCTAGCATGCTCTCTGTGAATGTTTCGTCTCTGAACGTTTTTATTTCCAGAGAGGAAGACAAGTGAGTGAGTGTGTATTAGTGTGAGTGTGTATGTATGTGTGTGTGTGTGTTTACGTGTGTGTGGATAGGTGTTTTTTTTTTGTGTGTGTTTTTTTGCTTCAAAAGTGTGTGTGAGGAGAGGTTGATGGGATTTGGGCATAACTTTTGAAGGTCAGCCATGCACAAAGATTTTTATTTTAATATGAATAATGCATTGACAGCACCTCTGTTTTCAGCCTTCATCTCTTTTAGAGGCTTTTTTTTTAAAGTCTCCATCCATCAAAGTTCTAGAGGTTCTGTGCAAAATGTCCAAACTCACAGCGATCAAATTCTAATTCTCACCCCTGCTCTTCTGTCCAACTAGCATGACTTGAGTTTTTCACATCCCTCTTTCCTTTATCTAATATGTGTTCTTATCTTATCGTCTTTTTTTTTTATTCCCAGAAATGTTTTATCAAATCTGTGTATTTCCCTTCTTCTCTATTGGTCAATGAGCATTGTTTCCAAAACTGGTCAGAATTGTGCTCTACAATTTGCAATATCTTTCCATTTTAGCTTTTTTTGCTTTCTTGTCATGTTGATTCACATAAGTGTCTGTATGGTTTGTATGGATAAAAAAAAGAGAATTCTAAAGCCAAATGTGGCATTGTCTGTTTCTTTTTCTTGTTCTACAGAGATGTTGAAGGAGCTGAACCAGCAGCGCAGAGCGAAAGAGTTTACAGACCTGAAAATAATTGTTGAAGGCAAAGAGTTTGAAGTCCACCAAAATGTTCTAGCTTCCTGCAGCTTGTATTTCAAGGACCTGGTGAAAAGGTTTGCCTTCGCTCCCCCCTTCCCCCAGCTGTTGATCCAATCTATTCTTTTCATAGGGCGCATTTGTGTCGCTTCTTTTTCCCTCCCCCTCTCTCTCTTGCAGGTGTGTGAAGACTTTGGTTCCTAGCACAGGGCCAGCAGCCATTCCTTCCTCCACCCACTCAAATGAATGTATCTGAAACTGGAGAAAAAGGTCAACATTCGTCATTGCTTTTCCTCCCCATGTAGGGCGCTTTAACCACATTTCCATTTTAATGAGCAGTGAAAATGTTCCATGACTGGGGATGTTTAAAAAAAAAAAGATAAATAAAAGAGAAGAAAACTCACCAAAGGGCCAAAAAAAAAAAAAAGAGTCACACATTGTGCGCATTAGGTGGTAATTTGCCAAAGCCACACTGTCCTCTCTCTGGGCAGAGGGATTTTTTTTGTCTCCGGAGCTATAATATTTTGTTTGTTGCTAATTGTTGAATTTTTACTCTAGAACGGCCTTTTTATAAACTGACACATCTTGGTTAGCGTGTTTAGAAAAAAGAAAAAAAAGAGGCACTTAAGAGTCATGAAAAAAGGATGAAACAGAAGCACATCTAAGACATGTTACTTGAACCACCACTTTCACAGGTTAACAGCACCTTTTACTGATTTGTTCATTTGATTCTGATCCAAGTATCTTCCCCAGTATTCTACTCTTCATTCTTCATACTCCTTTGCCTTCAGGGGTTGTTTCCCTATCATGCCTCTGAGTCAGCCTTTGTGTCTGTGTATGCGTGTTCACATGCATGAGAATGATAAAGTCTGATAGCACAAGTTTGTCTTTTATTTTTTATTTCATCCTCCTTTGTTTTGTGGTGAGCCATTACCATAAACCCCTAATGTCCTCATCCTTCCTTCAAATTCCTGCAGGTGCGTTTGACTTGATTGAAAGTTCCCTGGATCCGAAGTTGTTGTTTCTTTTTTTTCTTTTTTTCCCCATCGCGTTTTTTTCGTTTTTTTTTACGTTAGTGGTGTTGTTTACACGGCTCGGAAAAGAGGCGGACAAAGACGAGCAGAAAGCGATAACAGGAATGTGGTAGGGACACTTTGCCGCTCTGCCTCCACTCATCAGAGAACGGAGAGCGGCTTATCGGCCAGAGGCCTCCTCGCTTGCCCTTTTTTTCTCCGGAACGGGGATAGGGAGGGAAACCAGCACAAAACAAAAAAACCTCAAAAAAGAGGTGGATAAAGCAACAGATCCTCATCTGTAGGAGAGCCACTCATCTCCATGACAGCTACACGGGCCATGAATAAAACATAGACAGTGAGTCTCCCTCTGACCTTGACGGTGGCACAGGCGCTTCCTGCGAGAGCGAAGTGACTTTGGAGAGGACTGAAACCCCACGCTGGTCAACCTGTCTATCAGGTTGTCTCGTCTGGGCCTCTTATCTGGGACATGGCCAGATCATTTATGCACAAAGTCAGGGCCCCTGAAAGACAAGCAGGGCTCCCAGAGGAGTCGGCTGAATTTCATCAGACTCGTCTGCTGCATACAATATAACAATAACCCATTCTTAGGGTTTTTTTGTTGTTTTTTTTTTGGTAGTTTGAACGACTCAGCCGTCAGTAATCGGATAGTTAATCATGAAACTGTTTTGATTTAATGTCACAAAGTCAGAGTCTGAGAGATGAGTGGAATTCTCTGAATTTGCGAGGCTGGCAGCTGTTTTTGTATAGAAAGCTCTGCATTCTGGAAATAACGCAGCGGCCAGTAGTGGAAAGCAGAAGCACTAGCAGAATGACCAGAGACCAAACAAAGCCGGCGTCAGGAAAGGGAGCGTTTTGTTCGAGGCTGCAGGAGGTCTTTGCTGCCGGGCCGAGAGCCGCAAGCCAAGTCGGAGAGCAGCAAACAGAGCCAAGGGCCTGTCTGTCCCCTGAGTTACGACCTCCCATGTGCTACTAAGGTCGGTTTTTCAGCCTGCCTGGAATTATGCTGATGCCACTCGACACTAGCTACTGTCCACATCTTTACGAGGTCAAATAACAGAGGCAGGCGGGGACAGACTTCATCTTCGTAAATGCTGTGAACCCCGCTCGTCCAGCAGGCACTCGGCGGTGCTCCGATCCCCCCGTCGGCTCATAAGCGTTGCTCTGAACGTGTGTACAGTATGCGCTTGAAATTGGAAATGCCCGTCCACTGCGCTTTACACGAAGCAGGTGTTTTGCAGCATGCGTGCTTTTCTTTATGTGGAGGTGTGCGAGTGCGCGTGGGAGGCTATGACACGCTTCTTTTTGTGAGACCTAGGTAGGCTATATTAGTCAGAATAGTCGAGGTGGAGCACATCAGCATTCCCAAAGCTTTCAGTTGCCAATCCCCAGATGTTCAAACCCTCCATTCCCTACTATATCCATCTGTCGTCCGTTGTCTTCACACACCTGAAGCACTGGAGGGCCCAACGTGCATTCAGCCCCACGTTTCCCCCCACACTCCCTGTGAGGATGTAATGTCATTCCCCAGCGTGCACACACGTTTGCCCTCACCCCCACCAAAAACCTATTACCTTAGCTTTTAAAGGGCCAATGCACAGAGCGGGGAGACAGATCATCTCTGGTAATTCCATTTTACCCCTCGGGAGTTTCCAATAAGCGTGCTCGCAGGCGTTTAATTTATGACCACTGCATCTCGGCACCACCGTAATGTGAAAAGCTCCAGAATCTGTGAGCAATCCTGACACGTGCGTTTCTGCCATTTGTTTGCCCCCTCGTCCCCACCCCCACCCCAGCTGACTGTCGACCCATGAGTTCCCTACGCTCTGATTGATGCTGGTTGATTTAGCTTTTGGAAAGCTTAGTAACACGATAGCCAACTATCCCATAACCAAGCTTCTATCTATAGGGCACACTCATCCAAATTATTTATTTGTTTGTTTTTTTATTTGCATGTTTGATTTGGCATTCAGACGGATAGAGGCATCTGATTTCTTTATTATTTTTTATTATTCTTGTTATATTTTTGTTTGGATTCGGCAAGTTCTGCCTAACTCTTCCAGCTTACGTAAAATTAAGAAAAAAAATTGAAAAACAAGAAAACTGGCTGATCCCATGAGCTCAGACCTCCAGTGTGTTGAATTTGGGGACATCTAGTGTGTGAAGTTGCAGACTGCAGTCAACTAAATACCCCCTCCCCTCCCGCTCGTACTGGAGGAACCAGATTTCTGAAACTGAAAGCGGCCTGTTCTGAGCTGCTGGGAAAAGTTGGCCGGCCACCGTCATATAACATTTCTCAATGTAAACTTATTTTTCTCAAGTCACGTTTTTTTGTCCCTGGCAAAAGTTGTGTTGATCTCCATGTGTTTTAGGCTTAGACAGAGCTTGTAGACTCTCCAGCTGTCCTTTTTGTCCTTTAAAGTAACAGACACAAACGGGACTCCCTGCAGCCTCTAGCCTTGAAGGCGCCTATCGCAGGGACTTGAATGCAACACTGTGACCTCGATAGTGAGAAAAAAACAATGCTAAAGCAGCTGTATTCCGGTCATTTATATCATTCTTTTCTGATTTATGTTGTGGCGAGATGTAAATGTGAGCCATTTTTAGCAGAGACGGTCTTGGCTTTGCATCTTTTATCTGAGCATGCCTCAGTGGTGTATGTATTTCCGCTGAATAAATGGTCTTGTTAGGACACGCTAAATCTACTCCCTGCAAATGGGCTCTTTTTTTTTTTTATAGGTTCTTTAGGCAGAATGTTTTAGGAACTGCGTGGTGTGTATTTGTTTTATGCCCCTCCACCTCAGCCTCACCGCCATTTTGACAGACATGCTGATTTTTAAGACTTCCTCTTGAATAAGTGGTGCATTTTTCACAAACAAATTTCTTTGCTTGAGTGTGCCCATCGTTTTCCTCCCCCTTGCCCTATCTCTTCCCCTGTCTCTCTTTGTCATCCTATCCTCCCTCTTTCACTCTTTAAATTGAAGTCTGCAATCAAACGTAGCATAAATATCCACCTCTTTTAGAGAGCTCCGGAGGGGGGGGGGGTCATTTCCATAACACAAGTGCTCAGACAAAACAAACTGCCACTGAAGCTGGTTCCTATTGCACTAATTGACCAGTATGATGAGCATGCTCTTCTTTATTTTTAGCTTTCCCTCCCTCCCTCTTTTCTTCCCTCCTCCCCACTCCCCCCACCATCACTTTAACCCTGAACAACACTCCCTTTCCCTTCTTTCTGTCCTATCGCCTGCCCCCACTGCAGGGCTTTGTGCTGAAAAAGGGCAATAACGCTTTGTGGCTTTTTGCTTTGCAGGAGGAAAGAGTAACTACTTTGGTTTTTCCAGCCAATGTCCATCCAGGGACAAACGCAGTTGTCTTTCATTTTATTTGGATGTCCTTCTCCCCTCTCACCTCCAAAGTACACCTCATAAATGACGACTAATGTCTCAGTTCATACACTACAGGCTACTGATGATTATTGCAGCGGAGACAAAGGCTCTGTTTAGGTGTGATGGTGTTTTTTTTCTGGGGGTGGGAAGGGATATCTCTTATTTAAAAGACCAAGGCACAGTCATGGAACAACCCAAACTCCCTCAGAAGGATGGCTGCTGGCTCCCTGTGGAAGAACCGTCTCACCCTGCCTCCCTTCCTTTTGCTCCCTCCTCATGGAACACTCACCCCAACCATTCTGTCTGTCTCATCTCTTTTTTTTGTTTTCTCTTTTTTTACCAAATGCTGCTGACTGTCATGATTTCTAATCCAACAAACAGAGTTCTTCAAAAAGAAAAAGGAAGGGAAAAGAAAAGGGGGTGTGGGTAGACACACGTGAACACACACTCACCAGAACAGACAGGGCGTTATCACTGAGCTGCCATGACTGGCAGAAGCAAACAGCCTCCATCCATCTTAATGTAGGCCACTTTTTATATTGTTGATTTCCGTATCCGCAGGGAGCGAGACAGAGTAGTCAGGGGGTGGGGGGGGGGGGGGGGGCTGCATTGGCTTTGATTCCATTTATTTTGTCCTTGAGTGGATTATTGTTTCACATGGGACATTAAACATGGGTGGTGAGGTGTTATTTAACGCTCTCATACCTCCCCAAGGGGATCCTGCAAGCGAACTAATCTCGGTCATTTGATCCCGGTAAAGTCGCAACGTGGCCCAGTTCTGAGAGCAGCTCTCCTCTCCCTGCACATATCGGCCTCTGCATTACAAAAGGGATATCATATTCTATTTGATTTGCTCATTCAAGCACTCCCTGGCACCTCTGACATCATAGCAGCAGGAGTGGATGGGCTGCTTTGATACCCAACACGGCAGCGGACTGGGCTCCCACACAGCGAGTGCTCTGCCGTACAGCCTTAGCATACTTTACATTCTGTCACCCCTCCTCGTGCCACTCTTTACTGTATCTCCCAGTTTTTCCGTGTCCTTGCTCATACCTGCCATGTCATGTATGCACGTCCCCTAGTAAGACCATGCATACATGAAGCCACGCGTGAAGAAGCATGCCTGTTGATACAAAGCAATAACTTTTGTTTGCCTAATCCTTTGTTCAAAGGAGACACTTTGTTTCAGATGCAGCACTATAGTTGCAAATCTGCTAGCTCCATAGAAAAGTAGACATCATCAAAAGTTCTCTTTTCGTCCGTTTTTGTTTTCCATCGTTATATTGTTCTGTAACGAGACTCTTGTTTTTTCCCAACTCTCGCACTGTCCAAGGTGTTGTGTCTTGCATACATTTATTTTTGTCCCTTTTCCTTTTTTTGTTCCATCGCGTTACCTTATAAGACCCCTCCTAACTGGCCTCTCTCTGCCGTGATTGGTTGGCCAGGTCGTCAGGGGAGACGAGGAGCAGTGAGATGCTGGAGCTGAACATGAGCAACATCAGCGCTGAGGTGTTGGAGCTGCTGCTGGAGTTCGTCTACACGGGATCGCTGGTCATCGACTCGGCCAACGCCAAGACGCTGCTAGAGGCTGCCAACAAGTTCCAGTTCAACACCTTCTGCAAAGTCTGTGTCTCCTTCTTAGGTAGGGATAAACTAGAAAAAAGGAAAAAGTGGTGTGTGTTAGCTGCTTACATCAGCAAAGGTTTGGAGGGTTCTTACATACAATATGAAGGCCTCTTCCTCATGCTCCAGCTTAGAGAGGGTCTGGTGTAAAAACCCAACTTTCTGCTTAGTCTGCTTTCGTATTTCTGCCATGTTTCCAGAACATTCACGCATGTTAGAATTCCACCTCCCCCCTCGCCGAGTTGGGCACCGCGCCTCTGATCTTGTCCCAGTGGACAGGAGCAAGCACGGACAGATTTCTAAAAAGGTCAGGGTGCAATTGTCACTTAAATGTCAAATCCTCCGGCCTACTCTGCGACGGGGTCCCAAAAAAAAGAAAAAAGTTAAACAGATTGATACATGGATGAGGTATGGAGAGTGGAGCATCGCAGGGGTGTGGTTTTTCAGGGCCCAAGGGGTCACATGAAAAGCAAATGGCATGTTTCAGACAACTAAATAGCTGCAAATGTCAGCTTTTGCATTCCGTTTAATAAACTGTTTTGGGTATCAGTAGCACAAGGGAAGCGGGTGTTGGCAAAAAGGTCAGCCACAGGAAAGGAGAAAGGAAAGGGAGCCAGAAGCTCACGCTATTGATTTGTTTTTCCTCGATTTGTGTTGGGGGTGGGGGGGAGTGCAGGGGACAGAACAACGACGAACACAGAAAAGCCATTTGTAACCTTCATTGCCAGTGAGATGTCAATCCATTCTTTCCCGACAAGATTCATGACATTTCAGTACATTAGAAGGGGAGAAATACCGGTGCAAGCATGTGTCCTTGAGCCAAAATTGATACCGTGTCAGAAATGATTGAAGTTTGAAACAAATCCACAGCAGAATGGCAAACATTTCCACGACCTACTTCCCAGATCGCACTTTGACTGTTATCCACATATTTGAATTTTTTTTTCAAAAAGTCTCATTGCGTGCCTGCCGCTGTGGAAGAATTCGAGACTTTTTAAGGTACTGAGAGTTCAAAAGTATAGCAGCGACGCGCTCCACTTCTCAGCTGTGATGAAGACGTGGTGCACAGCAGAGATTTTCAGATACTTTCAGATGCTGATACTTCTGCTCACAAATTGAGTCCCAAATGCATAAAGGAAATGCAATAAAGAAGAAATATGGAGGAAAATAATTCTGAGGGTGTAAGAAACAAAGTGAAACATCCCTGTTCGGGCTTTAACAGGCCCACTGAAAGGATATCTTAAAAGGAGAGCCTTTTGCTCTCGCCACAGACTCAATTCACACGCAGCATCAAGCATGCTTTTTTTGTCTTTGGTTTGGATTTGTTCATTTGCCATATTCCAGATGTTCAGTGGCCTTCAGTGGCCGCTGTTTGTTTAGGAAACATTCTGCCCTCAGTGATAAAAGGCCCAGCGTTGTGGCCCTTTGACTGCCATTGTCTAATCGAGCGGCTTCCGATGGCCAGTCAGCTATTTGATCCATGCTTTTCCCCACTTCACGTGGGGACGTTTCATTATCTTGTGACAAAAGGCAATGTCTGAAAACACATTTGCAGACGCACCTCATCGGATGCTGCACCTTTCCAAAAAAAGAAAGGCAAGCACAGACGGCGGCGAAAGCCTCCTGTCCCCCGGCCATTCCATCAGCCTTAGTTTCAAATGTTCCCGGCTCTCTGTATGTGTCTCCGTGTGTAGTCGGTCCTGAGATCTGACAGGACTTCTTTAAAGTGGCCCAGCTAATCCCACATCCCGCTCCCTGATATCCTTCCACCTCATGCTCAGAGTCTGAGCGATCGATTCCCCTCGTTGTTTGTCCCCGGAGCTGTTTTGAGTTATTGCTTGTTCTCCCTTAGTCTCCGGCAGGTACACAACCCAGCAGGCTCAGTGTCTTTTCTACCTGGAGCCGCTTTGTCTGTTTGTTTTAGCTCTGTACATCTTTTTATGGATGTCTGAGTCCTGTTTTGTTCCCCCTGTCTTAATCAATCTGCCCGTGTCTTTTGTTTCTCTCTTGTTTTTGCTCTCTCTGTCTTTGCCCCTCTCTCCTCGCTCCTCTGACCTTCGCTATGGACTCCAGAAAAACAGTTGACGGCAGCTAACTGTCTGGGCGTGCTGGCTATGGCGGAGGCCATGAGCTGCACCGAGCTCCACAACATGGCCAAAGCCTTTGCTCTGCAGAACTTCCCTGAGGTGAGTGTCGCTTGATCATCGCGCTTAATTTGTTGATTGAGCAAAGCAGCTTTTTGAAAATGATAATCCATCCCATAATCACCACCTTAGTGGATACATTTCTCGATCTACCTGATAGATTTTGATTTTATTATTTTTTTGTTCAAAGCCTGACACTTTAAAATGCAAAACATTTCAGTTCAGTCTGCTGAATCTAATTTTCTTAGATCTCAACAGCAAAGCACGCTGGCATTCAAAGCATATTGAACTATTAAAACGGCCCGTCCGTTCAGCATTTGCATTCTGTTGCTTTTCTCAGGTGAAGGATTTCTTTACAAGAGGGAGATGCAGTTATACCAACGTTTCACTTATACGTTTTTCCTTTTTCAAATGAAATGATACCTTCCAAAAGTGTGAAGTATGAAACAATTCAACGCACTTTAGATCTTTGATTCCTCAAAACAAAAGGCTCTCTGTCTTCAATTACCTCTCCAACAATATTTATCTTTTATTGTTTCTTTAGTGTCTCACAATAGTATCCCCAGTATAAGACATTTTTAGAGCAAGTGTGCATAAGTGTGGCCTCTTTTGCAATAAAAGGCGCCACAGAGATATGTGTGCGGTATAGAGCAGTGTGTGGATAGTTAACTGCCAGTTAGGGAACAGTTTAGCATCTTCCATAGAGAGTGAACGCACATAAAGTCTCCCCTTTGGAATTGATTGTTGGCCCGAACCCCACAGAGCTGTTAAATCTCCATTAGTTAAAAAGAAGTAAAATGGTTCAATTCCACAGTTCAGATGGCTGTTTTAGGAGCCACCGCAGTGCGTCGGCACCATTGAACCTTGGCGTTTTGACACATTCAGTAGTTTTTGTGTTCGCCTCAACTGTATTTCAGTAAAATTGAGTTGCACAAAAGTGCATTCATACTTTTGAAAGTACTGAACTTGATCACTTTTCTTGCTTGGAGTTACCATAGAGGGGGAAGTTCAATAAACCTGCTCCGGTTCCTCCATTAATTATGAGGCTGCAACCTGGAGACAGCCAGCTTAGTATAAAAGCTGGGCGGAAGGAGGGTGGCGGCTTCTGTGGCCTATTTCTCTCTAAACATGAAAAAATAATGCATTGAATATTACCTTTGTGCTGTGAGGTTTTCAGGTAGGACAGACTTCAGGAAGTCGATGTGCCTGCCACTGAAATCCGCCGTATCCAAAATCGCTATTTATTGACCACTCTGCACTGCTCTACATTTGCCCTTGTAATTTTCTTGGAGCTTCTAAATTATGAAAGCAAAAATCTTTGACTTAAAGCATTATGTAATGTAAATGTAGCATTCATAGATGCTTCTGCGAACGATGCCAAAATGATTCATTCAGCATGTCTTAAAGTGTAATGCGTGTCAGCCTGTTTGGATTGAAACATCAAGAAAAACCTTGAAAACTGTTTGATAAAAGCATCAAGCAAACCAAATAAAATCGGGTATTAAGGGAAATCAGGTCGAATGACCATGTTAATTGCTCTATAGATATTTTCTGTGTTCACATGAAAGAAATGGAGCACAGCTGCAGTGTTTTTAAATCCTGCAGCTGTCCCACAAGTCTGAGAGTTTATAAGATTTTCATTGCCTCTCCAATTATGTCACCTCCTGAGAACCTGCATCCTCACAGGAGGACATTGCATTTTTGCCTCTCTGAACCACAATACCTTTTTTTTCCCCAACTGTGACCAATTGATGTCATAGTAGACACTACAGGACAAGAATGTCTGAAAGCTCAAATATAATGGTTTTATACATATTTCAGTCATTTGTACAATCAGAACCAAATAAAACTTTTAGATACATAAATGTACATTTTTAATACAAAGCTAAACCCACTGTCTCTACATGAAGAAAAGCTACTTTCTCTACCATGACAGAGTTTAGTTATTAAACCTATTAGATCCTACTCATACCATATATCTTGGATAAAGAAAAACGGCAAATCCTATAAAAGCATGAGTCTCAGGAGGTTTAATGTATGTAAAATAAATAAATCTTATGCGTCTTAGCTTCTTGTTTGTTGGCCGTCTTTGAGTTCAGCCAAATTTTTTTAAGACTCAGGTCTTTACGCGTGATCTGAAATAAAGATTGTCCAAAAGGAGACAGATCCCAGTCCAGCGTGCAGCTCACACAGGTGGGTGTCAGATGGTGTCTGAAAAGGGGGCCTACTGTCTCATATTTATGTTTAAAAGATTTTTAAAGAATGCTTTAAACGCTGCCATGTTTTTAACTCTTACAGGTGGCGGGTCAAGAAGAGATTTTGAGTGTGTCCAAGGAGGACCTGGTGGCATATCTGTCCAATGACAGTCTAAACACAAAGGCTGAGGAGCTGGTTTACGAGACTGTCCTAAAGTGGATCAAGCAGGACCCAAACTCCAGAGTGCAGGTAAGAAAAACAGGCGGCCAGTGTGTGTGTCTCTCCACCCCATCCAATACAGTTTTTTGTTATTTCTAAAATGAGCCCGTTCTGTACTTGTCATGAGACCTGACTGGCAGCATAAGCCTCTCGTTACCACTGACAGTCCAGATCCTGCAGGTCTGTGGAGAAGCTTTAAAACAGTTGTTCTCTAGACCCTCTGTCTTCTTTAGAGAGGAGAAAGACATGAAAAGCCAGACAAATGACTCCGTGTTTCCTCCTGGTTGTGTTCATCAGCTTTGTTCTTCAGATGCAGCCTACAACAGCAGCTGCTGGGATTCCCAGGAGGGCTTTGCCCTAAGAAGGCTCTCTATTCTCGATTCCTTGTTTTGTTGGAAAGGCACTGCACCGCTTGGAAAACCAACATAAACACAGACAGCCATCGTCCTTGTTGTGTTTGTCAAACAGGTGTTTGTCTTCTTTCTTGAGGCCATTAATCATAATCAAAGTTCATATCCCTGGAATGGGTATTGACTGGAAGAGACAGCAGGTCACATGTTAACAGGCCTGGAGTCAGTGAGCGGGTTTCAAGGTGTGAGCCAGTACATCTGTCTTGGGGGTGGGGTGCGCTCAAGTTGTGAGGAATTTATTGGTTCATGAATTTCAAATGGATGATTTGAAAGTACTTTATAGCTTTTTTAAAATTGAGGTGAGATTATTTTCAGATGAATTACGCCAGCCTGTCGCTGCAAGAATCATTCCCTCAAAGTAATGTTTTATCATCAGTTAGAGGAAGTGCCTCGTTTTGGCTGGATCGGATTCAGTGCAGACCTCAGCAGTCAATTTTACTTTATCAGCGCCCGCTTTAATGAGGCACATACGTCAATAGCAGAATTTCACACCTTTTTTGGATTAACCGTTGAGCGTTTTTGTCCTTTGATACGTGGCACTCTGATTACGGGGAAAGCCATAAAGAAGGGCTTTACAGGGCAAATTGTTGAGAGGTTAATGATTATCACTACAACAATATAAATATAAATTCTACATAGAGGCTTTTTTATACTTCTGGTGTAAAAACCTCTAAAGTTTCAACTTGAGGACACACAGGAGGAGAGTTGGCAAACAGCAGAAAGATAGTTTTTGAGTAGAACATATCTCTGTCAGCTCTAACCAGCTCAGTCCAGCGGTTTCCTCCAATCTCACACTCTACTGGAGAGGTGCAGAGCAGAGGTAGTGGGATGAAGTAGGAGAAATGTTCCTGGTTGTCTGAACAACCCACTCCGCTGGTTCCTGAGACGAGACAACAGGGTCACTCCGTCTTTAGGGAGAAAACAATGAGTGTTGGGAAGAGAGCCAGAGCAAGACAAAGAATCAGAGCGAGGCAGAGAGACGGTAAAAAGGGCTGGGTCAGAAACGAGGTGGGGAGAAAAGTGGGATGGAAAAAAAGAGCCCCTTAGCTCTAATCTGATATCCACCGGTTTGTGCCTCTGCACACAGCCATGGCATCTCGAGAGCGATGCGATTGAGCTTGCGGTCAAGCTCAAACATCCTCCCCATGTGTGACTTAAAGAAAAACAAAAAAGGAAAGAAAACAAGCCCACTCCCCGAGGAGAGGCCAAGACAGGAGAGAAGACAGAGTGCACTGCCTCCGTAATGCCACAGGAGAAGTTTATGTGACCCTGAAGGCTGTGTTTATACGCGTGGTCCCACTCTTGCTCATCATTTCCTTCCTGCCTCGCTTCTTGTCCCCTCTGCCCAGTCGGAGGCCGAGCATGGCAGAAATCACTCCCCCCAGAACCTGTAACACTTTTTAATGACACGCCATGGCAGGATGTCACAGCACTGCAGGAAGAAGAAAGAAAAAAAGAAGAGGGGGATGAGAAGCTTCAACCTTCGAGTGAAGCTTGTGATTTTGCATTTATCCGAGCTTGAGCTTGCCTGCATGCAAGTTGTATGCTTCTGGCTATAGAGCGGCAAAGTGTGACATTGAAGGGGCTGGATAAATAAGTACATTTTTCTTCCCTCCGTGCCGTCGCTAACGATCAATGGCATCAGAAAAGGGGGTCTGAACATCACTTTGGAGACAGGGACAGCATTTGGGCGTTAATAATTGTTTTGCTGTAGACACAAAGCCACTGAGTAAAACAGAGAGCTGTTTTGTTTTGTGTTTTCATATATCATCCAAGGTATGTGAACCTGCAAAATTTTGCACATTTTTGCGAACTGAAGTAACAAAGGAAGTTGACTTGAAAAGAAAACGAAATGGCCTTTCGGCAGGAGGGTGCCTCGAGAATTTATTGTGAAACAACGAGCAAATGAGTTTACATCAACTCTGATAACTAATTCATGATTTTCACATATCCATCGTTGGCTTATTTTCTCACACAGTGGGGAGGAAAATCAATTATGTGATCAGATATCACCAATTCAAAGGCGGGAGTGAAAGGCAATGCACAGATTACCATGGCATAGTTGTAAATACAGTCTGCTTCAGCCTAAATGAATTATGCATGCGGCATTGTACAAAAGTCCTGAGCCACTTCTTATTTTTTCATACTCTGCTCCCAAGAAGACAGACTGTCTTGTAATCTTTTCAAGCTGTGTCTGGCAGAAGTTCTCCAGCCTCACAGAGGGTCTTGAAAAGTGTGTCCTATGCCACTGGCTTTCTTTTTCAGTCCACTGTCAAACATACAAAGGTATCAAACTCAAAGGATGAGCCAGCGTTGTGAGAGCACACAGCAGACAACTTTGTAAATAACCTTTATTGGACGGCATCATTTTTGGCTTTTGTTGCCAACAGCCCGTCACAAGATGAATAATTTGGTCCCATTTCTTTTGGTGCTTCAACCACATCAAATAAAAATAAAGCCATTGCAGTTGAACTGACAGGAATTTGGGGTTTCAACCCTGAAAAGATGATTCCTAAAACTAGGAATCTGGCAAAGGCCTGACCGAACCTGAGGGATGAACCTGGCCCTTCAGACAACCGTCTGCCGCTCACCGAAGCCTCATCAGAAATGGATTCAGTCAAAGAGGGCCTGCCCAGAAGCCATTCTTAGGGTTAGGGAAAAGGCTGAGGAATGCCAAATAGTACATGAAGTGGACTGAAAATCCCAGAGCCCCAATCAGGTCTTCCCGAAGACCACCGAAAGATATTACAAGACGGCTAGTGTAAGACTGCGTGCTGAAGAGTGAAAGTGTTCACCCTGAATACGGATGAAGGTTGGTGAGAATGGTGCAAACTGTATTATTATTTGTGTACAGTTATTTCCATTTAGTCACACCTTTCAGACAGCTCCTGTACCTTTTCCCCCATTTTCCTGGTATTATGAATAATTGAATTAGGCGTGCCTCGAGGCCTTTGAACAGCATGGAACGCTGAAGGAGAACTGTGTAGATAAGTTGTTTTTTACAGAATGTAAAACAGAACAACAGAATAATCCTTCCATCGCCTCATTTGCAGTGGTTCCTCTAAAAGGGGGAGAGAAAAAAACATAAACTGGATAAACAATGTCTTGCATCTCTTGGGAAGCTGACACACAGACCGGCCCTTCCCTTCACTGAACACTCCTTTGTGGGACCACCATTGACACATAGGCCCAATTATAACTTACCGGTCTGTGTCATATACCTGAATAGGACCACCGTTATGCCTCGCTTCAACATATTTCATAAAGAATCCTATCTTGCAGGTCACTCAGCCTGACAAGAGGGGCTGATTAATTGGCTCTTCGGAAGGTGGCCAACTAATGGGACACCTCCAAAGCACAGTAAATTGTGTATTTTCATCATGAAAAGGGAGGGGGGGTAGTCTTTCCATTAGAAAGGACCTGCTGTCTGTTAATCAGAAATAACAATAGCCTGAGCTATTCGCAGGTTCCAAGATAAATTAATAAAGCGAAAGGTATTACCTCTTATAAGTCGCTGCTGATTATTTTCTAGATATATCCAAGTAGAAGTATTGCAGCGCTTTTTTTTTAAATCCCACGCCAGCACTTATTAGGAAGTTTTTTTTTATCCAGAACAAATTATAGCATCATTATGTAGTTAGTGTACAAAATTATCAAAGAGAGAAAAGCTCTGAGGCTAAGCACGGCTATAAACTGGGTTTCCCTCACTGTTTCACGATTCATTTACCTTCAAAACTGCCGATGACCCTCCCACCTCAAGCGTCGCTTTTGATTTAGCCATTTTCTTCCTTTTAAATTGCAAGTTCGAAATGGAAAAAAAGTAGCATCTTGAACCTCTCTTGGAGTGGTTGATTTGTTTCAGGATAAAAGGAGCCTCGTGTCATGGCGATCCTCGTCGGAGAGGAAACTGAAACGCTCCTCAAGCGGGCTGAAATGTAGGTGTTACTCGGCCCTCCTTAAACAGGCAGAGCCGAGCAGCGGAGATCGATTCAGGGGATACTGTTCACCACATCTTTTCCCTTTCTCTGTCCCCACCTTCCTCGTCTCTTGTATGTATGAAAGGCAAACCCTGAGGGGGCTTTAAACAGCTCACAGGATGTCATCCTGTATGTCCGCTTTGGGTGCTCCAACATTCTGGCAGTCCCGGGAATAACTTGCATATCGGTCGAAGCGCAACTTGCGGGGCCAGGATCCGATGCAAACCAGTAACCTCTGGACGTCCGTTCTCATCTGTGTCCTTTGTTCAGTCCTGATGTGTGCAGCCAGCTGAACGGCAGCCACTGGACCACGGCGGCTGTGTATCCAGAGGCGGAGCATCACCTCTGGGCGCGCTGATGAACACGGATGGGCTGCATGAGCTGTGCCATTTAAAGAGATCTGATACATTGGTTCTGTGTTCAGCTTTTCTTTTTTCTTTCTTTCTTTCTTTTTGCTGTTTCGCAAGAAAGAATAAAAGCACACTCTGCAGTGTCATCAAGTGGAAAATAACTGTTACTAGACACCACTAGACGTCAGAGATGATTCAGTGAGTAAATAGAAGCTACAATGTTTTATAAGCTATGAAATGTAGAGTTTTCAGCAAATATGTTTTGGATTAAGTCAGTGGAAGAGCGACTTTATTTATTTATTTTTTATTTGAATGAATTCATGCTGAAATAGGCCTCAGAGGGGAACACATTGCACCTGTCAGTAGTTGCTCAGGGCAGCATCAGGCATCTGTCGTCTGCTACGTCTGACTCCATCTCCCATCCATCCTGCTTGCATATCGGCACACACAGCCATGAAGTCACGAGAGGAACGCAAAGAGGCTCAGCAAAGCATCACTTGGATCTAAATGAAGCACCATTTGCAAGAGCATATTTTCTCCTCCATATTGTGCTGGCAGAAGAAAAGTCGTGTGCGTGTATTTTCTCACAGAAACCTGCACTTACCCCCGGAGGGGGCACAGAGC